CTGACATCGTAGGGCATTGACGGCCTCTGCCCCCTGAGTCGGGTACCTTTAAATATACCAGGGCAATTGGGCATTGAGAGGAGAGGCAAATAGATCGATCACCGGTTGCCCAAACCTCCGCACTGCTTCCTGGAAGACAGCTGGGTGTAGGCGCCACTCTGCCTGATCTATCGTGGCCCTGCTGAGCCAGTCTGCTTGTGTGTTTAAGGCCCCTGCTATGTATTCTGCCTTGAGCAAAAACAGATTGGCCTCGGCCCACTTGAACAACTTGGCCGTCTCCAGCATCAGAAGTTTGGAGTGGGTACCCCCCTGTCTGTTTACGTGGGCCTTGGTTATGATATTGTCTGTCAAGACCAGAATGTGGCGTGATTGGAAAAGGGGTAGAAAACTGCGTAAGGCCAGGTGAACTGCTCGCAGCTCCAACAGGTTGATGCTTTGTGATTGTTCAGAAATAGTCCAACTTCCCTGTGCAGTGTGGGATTGGAAGTGAGCTCCCCATCCTACCAGGCTGGCATCAGTTGTGATCGTTGCCCTGTAAGATTCCTTGAAAGGACACCCCTTGTTTATCATTTTTTTCCGACCACCAGCAGAGCGATCGGAGAACATTGTGCAGTACCTTTATCCAGACGTTGGAAGTGGCTCTTCCGGATCGCTGGAAAGGTAGCAGGAACCATTGCAGATCTCTAGAATGGAATCGAGCCCAAGGCACAATGGAAATACAAGAAATCAGTTTCCCTAACAGTTGAGACAGAACTGCCAGGGAAACCCTCTTTAAGGCTCTGATCTGTCTGGCCAAAGACTGGATACTGTTTAACCTGTCCTGAGAGAGAAAGACCTTGCCCTCCATGGTATCTATCACTGCCCCTAAATGAACTAACCTAGTTGAGGGGATCAAATGGCTTTTATCCCAATTTATGGAAAAGCCCTGACCCTGAAGGGTCTCCAGAATAATCTTGGTATCCAATTTTGCTTGATGTCTGGAAGATGACAAAATTAAAATATCATCCAGATAACATTGTAAGCGAATAGATTTGATCCTGAGTGAGGCAGCCAAAGCCGCGAGGACCTTGGTAAAAGTCCTAGGGGCCGAAGCCAGAACGAATGGTAGGGCGATATATTCGTAGTGCTGATCACAATAGCAAAATCTAAGATATTTGTAGTGAGCAGGTCTAATTGGTATATGTAGATAAGCCTCTGTGAGATCTATAGAGGTCAGGACATCGTTCTCTCTGATGCTGAGCAGAATGGACTGGGGAGTAGTCATCTTGAATTTTCGATAAACCAATGATCTGTTCAGACGTTTGAGGTCCAGAATTGCCCTCCAGCCCCCCGAACTCTTTGGGACCACAAACAATAGAGAATAACAGCCTTGACCCCTCTGTTCAGATGGGACCTAATGGCCCAAATATGTAGAAGATGATTGATAGTCTCCTGCATCAACGCCCTCTTAATGGGGTCCGTGGACCTAGGGCTCCTAATGAAAAAGTTCGGGGGGGGGGGAGGATTGAAACTCTAGCACCAAACCAAACCTAACAGAGTCCCTGACCCACGCATTAGAGGTGGAGCTGTCCCATTGATCAGCAAACAATTTTAGCCTCCCTCCAATGGGAACTACTGTCAAGGACTCACTTGGGGCGACGAAAAAATCGGCCTCCAGTGCCTCTGGGGTTTCTTCTGTTTTGGCGTCCCCACTGACCTCTATCAGAAGATTCAGACCTATCCTGTCTAAAACTGGGCCTGTAGCCTGATGTTCTCTGACATCTGGGAACGTATGGGCCTTGATAGTAGGGCCGAAAGGAACCCCTTCGAAACGACTGGGGCGTTCTGTTTTCAGACCTCCGAAAAGGGATATACACCCTAGCAGAACCTGTTAGGGATATACACCCTAGCAGAACCTGCACGGCAGTCAGGCAGG